AAAAAAAATCAGACCCCCAAACTTAAAGACATTCCAAAAATGGGCCTGAAATGAAGAGATATTTCTCTGATAAAGAAATACAAATAACAAATAAATATATGAAAAAATGTTCAACATCACTGGTCACTTGAGAGATGCAAATTAAAACAACACTGAGACTCCATCTCACTCTAGAAATCATGATTATCATCAAGAGATCAGGGTTGGGGAGATAGCTCAGTAGAATAAAGTGCATGCCTGGCAAACACAAGGTCCTGAGTTCAATCCCCAGTACCACAAAGAGAGAGAGAGAGAGAGAGAGAGAGAGAGAGAGAGAGAGAGAGAGAGAGATCAGCCAATAACAAATGGTGGTGAGGATCTGAGGAAAAAAGAACCCTTTTCCATTGTTGCTGGAAGTATATTGCATATAACCACTACAGAAATCAGTGTAAAGATTCCTCAAAAAACTAAAACTAGTATGGGCTGGGGATATAGCTCAGTGGCATAAGCACCTGACTGGCAAGTCCAAGGTCCATAGTTTGCTCTCTGGTGTCTCAAAAACAAACAAACAAACAAAAAACTAAAACTTAAGTCAGGTGTGGTAGTACACATCTATAACCCCAGCACTTGGGAGGTTAAGGTAGAAAGATCATTGAGAGTTGAGATCAGCCTGGGCTACAAGGTGAGCTCAAGGCCAGGATGAACTACATAGTGAGACCCTGTCTCAAAAACACCAAACACGGGGGCCTGCCCCTTAGCTCAGTTCTTTAAGTGGCTGCTTCAACAAAGCAGTCAGGCTCAGGTGGCTGTGGTTCGATCCCCACAACACAAGCCAGCCAGTCAAAAAAAAAAAAAAAACAACAACAACAAAAAAACACCAAACAGTGCTCACTTCGACAGCACATATACTAAAATTGGAATGATACAGGGAAGATTAGCTTGGCCCCTGTGCAAGGATGACACACAAATTCATGAAGCGTTCCATATTTTTACAAGAAATTTACAGAAGATGTAGTCCCTATACTCCTCAAACTCTTTAACGAAATTGAAAAGGAAGCAATCCTCCCAAAATCATTCCTGGAAGCAAGTATTATACTGATACCACAACCAGGGAAAGATGCAACTAAAAAAGAGAACTATAGGCCAATCTCCCTCATGAACATAGATGCCAAAATCCTCAATAAAATCCTAGCAAATAGAATACAGCAAATCATCAAGAAGATCATATACCATGACCAGGTAGGATTCATCCCAGGGATGCAAGGATGGTTCAATATTTGAAAATCTATAAATGTAATACACTATAACAATAGAGCGACAGATAACAACCACATGATTATCTCCACTGATGCAGAGAAGGCTTCTGACAAAGTCCAATGCTCATTCATGTTCAAAGTCCTACAGAAAATTGGAATAGATGGCCTCTACTTCAATCTGATAAAAGCCATTTATGAAAACTCAACAGCTAACATAATTCTTTTTTTTTTTTTTTTTCGGAACCGGGGGTTGAACTCAGGCCCTTGAGCTTGCCAAGAAGCGCTTATTCCACTGAGCCATCTCCCCGGTCCCCATAATTTTAAATGGTGAAAAATTGAAATCTTTTACTCTTAGATCTGGTACAAGATAAGGATGTCCTCTATCACCACTCCTATTCAATATAGTTCTGGAATCATTAGCTGGAGCCATTAGACAAGAGAAAGAAATAAAAGGAATAAGAATAGGTAAAGAAGAAGTTAAATTATCATTATTTGCAGATGACATAATACTTTACTTGGAAGACTCAAAAAACTCCACCAAGAAGCTACTAGAATTAATACAGAAATTCAGTAGC